AGGAATAAACCTACCTAAGGAGGTCAAACACCTGTACTCAGAAAACTATAAGACACTGATGAAAGAAATCAAAGATGACACAAACAGATTGAGAGGTATACCATGTTTTTGGATTGGAAGAATCAATATTGTGAAAATGACTATACTACCCAAAGCAATCTACAGATTCAATGCAACCCCTATCAAATTACCAATGGCATTTTTAACTAGAACTAGAATTTAAAAATCTTTAAATTTGTATGGAGACACAAAAGACCCCAAATAGCCAAAGCAATCTTGAGGGAAAAAAACAGAGCTTGAGGAATCAGACTCCCTGACTTCAGACTATATTACAAAGCTACAGTAATCAAGACAATATGGTACTGGCAGAAAAACAGAAATATAGATCAATGGAACAGGATAGAAAGCCCAGAGATAAACACACACACCTATATGGTCAACTAATCTATGACAAAGGAGGCAAGGATATACAATGGAGAAAAGACAGTCTCTTCAATTAGTGGTGCTGGGAAAACTGGACAGCTACATGTAAAAGAATGAAATTAGAACACTCCCTAACACCATACACAAAAATAAACTGAAAATGGATTAAAGACCTAGATGTAAGTCCGGACACTATAAAACTCTTAGAGGAAAACACAGGAAGAACACTCTTTGACATAATTCACAGCAAGATCTTTTTTGACCCACCTCCTACAGAAATGGAAATAAAAACAAAAATAAACAAATAGGACCTAATGAAACTCAAAAGCTTTTGCATAGCAAAGGAAACTATAAATAAGATGAAAAGACAACCCTCAGAATGGGAGAAAATATTTGCAAAAGAATCAATAAACAAAGGGTTAATCTCCAAAATATATTAAAAAACTCATGCAGCTCAATATTAAAAAAATAAACAACCCAATTAAAAGATGGGCAGAAGACCTAAATAGACATTTCTCCAAAGAAGACATACAGATGGCCAAGACGCACATGAAAAGCTGCTCAACATCACTAGTTTCATCACTAGTGAAATGCAAATCAAAACTACAATGAGGTATCTCCTCACACCAGTTAGAATGGGCATCATCAGAAAATCTACAGACAACAAATGCTGGAGACGGTGTTGAGAAAAGGGAACGCTCTTGCACTGTTGGTGGGAATGTAAATTGATACAGCCACTATGGAGAACAGTATGGAGAGTCCTTCAAAAACTAAAAGTAGAATTACCATATGACCCAGCAATCCCACTACTGGGCATATATCCAGAGAAAACCATAATTCAAAAAGACACATGCACCCCAATGTTCACTAAAGCACTATTTACGATAGCCAGGTCATGGAAGCAACCTAAATGCCCATCCACAGACAAATGAATAAAGAAGATGTGGCACACATATACAATGGAATATTACTCAGCTATAAAAAGGAACGAAAATGGGTCATTTCTAGAGACATGGATGGACCTAGAGACTATCATACAGAGTGAAGTTAAGTCAGAAGGAGAAAAACAAATATCGTGTATTAACGCATATATGTGGAATCTAGAAAATGGTACAGATGAACCGGTTTGCAAGGCAGAAACAGAGACACAGATGTAGGGAACATATGGACACCAAGGGGGGAAAGCGGGGTGGTGGTGGTGGTGGGATGAATTGGGAGATTAGGATTGACATACATACACTAATATGTATAAAACAGATAAGTAATAAGAACCTGTTGTATAAAATAAATAAATAAACTTCAAAAAAAAAAACTAAATGTGGATTTAACCCCCACGTTTCCTATTTATCACCTGGCAAAGATGCAAAGCAGAGAATCAGGGTACTTGATGATTTAGGGATGCTAAAAAAATCATCTGCCATAATGGGAAGTTAATAGATAATGCCTAAAATTGATACTTAAAAAATTAGAAGTAAAATCATATGTAGAAATATGGACTTCAATGCCCAAAGAAGCTGCTAAAACATCAAAAGTGGTCCTCTGGGAAATAAGACTACAAAGTGAGGAGAGGTCAGGTAGGGGAACTGCATTTTTGTTGTTGTTTGTTTTCGTTATAAGGCTTTTTGTACTTATTTTGGTCAGGCTGTATTATGCTCCGCTGCAGTAACAAATAAATCCTGAAATGCTCAGTGGCTTAACAAAATAACAGGTTTTTTTTAAAAAAAAATGAAGAAATGGGGTTAAAATTCAAATGTGAAAATGCTTTTTAAATAACTACTTAGCACAACAGTTGAATGAAATAAATACCACCAGCCTCACTTTCAAGATAAGAAATCTGGAAGAAAACGGAGGAAAAAAATAGACAAATTTCAGAAAGATGTCAAATGGTACAACCAGAAGTCCTAATAGAGTTGAAGAGTCCCCAATCCCAGTCTTTGACTTGGAATAATCGGGAAATCTTGGCAAACCACCATGCTTCCCAAGATCTTAGATTCGATAAGCGAATTGAACCAGGTGGCCCCTAAGGTTGCTTCCAGCCTTAAAAAAAATATCTAGAATCTGTACCCTAGGATGTGCCCCACTGAACATACATCACAAGCCAGATCAGGATAAGAAGAGAAAAAGCCTAAAATGAAGCCATTTCCGGAAAACTTTATTCCTAGTTTACACAGAAAAGGAAATGGTAATGATTCAATCAGAAAAAGAAGTTCCGATTATTCAAAAGAGGTGCTGCAGAAAACTCAAATAAGGAGAGGATCTTTGTTCTGTTTCTCTTGTGATTATCAAGAATAGTAACATTCTCCAGTGTCTGCAATGCAGAGGCAGCTGAAGCGTAGGGTACTTGTGCCCTTGGAAGGCGGAAAGGCAGCACCCTACAGGGGCTGTCACTCTTGTTCTCCTTTGCCTTTGTATCCACCTCCTAAGGAACAAAGACACAGTCATCAGCCCCCAGTCTTCACTTTTTCCCAGGATTAGGTAACTCATGAAGTGCCAGTGACACTTGGAAAAGCCTGTGTTCAGCCCCATTCCCCTTCTGTGACCCAAAGGCCTCCCTCATGCTGCTTCCAGCCATCCACCACGGAGGTAACCCACCCTCCCTGGCCTGCTGAGCTTCGCAAATAACCTCTCTGCTCAAATAAAAGCAGACTGGACTAGAAGGAGTCTGGCTCTAAACGAAGTCCCACCATTAACTGGCTGTGTGACCTGTGACTAGCTATTTAACTTCATGCGCCTCTTATCTCCCCTGTAAAATAGCGACTAACACTGGACCTATCATCTCAAAAGTATGTCCAGTCAAACATGTTTTAAATGTATAAAACGCCCCTTCAAATTAGTAAGACAAATATATATCTCCCAGTAGATAAAGAGATAGCTAAAAAGGCTAATCATAGAAGAAGTAATACTGGCCAATAAACAGTAAAAGATGCTCATTAATAAATCAGGAATTGAAAATAACACAACCATTAGATACTACTTTTCATCCAACACATCCATAAAATTTAAAAGATCATATTAGCAAGGGTATGGGAAGATGAGTATTCTCATATGTGTCAGGTAGAAAGATAGTTTGTCATTGCCTTTTGGGAAGAATTTGATAGTACCCATCAAGATATTAAATATGCATGCCTTTTGATCTTTTGCAATACTCTCCTAGAGAAATGTTCTCATACATGCCGAAAATATATGCATAAAGATGTTCAATGAAGCACTGTTTACTTAAATGTCCATTAATTGGGAGATGGTTAAATAAATTATGGAACATCTAGACCATGGAATATTAAACTGCCATGTGAAAGAATTAAATAGATCTAGTTATCTGTGCTAGCATGAAATATATTATGAAACTAGAACAGTGCCTGGCACATAGGAGCCACTCAGTAAGTATTTGTTGAATAAATGAATACATACATACCTTTCCACAGCACTTTCACATATCCCATCTCATATAATTCTTATGGCAATCCAACTACATGAGCCAAGCAGGGAATACTGTCCCCAGTGGAAGGGCAAGGAAATTAAAGTTCAAGGTGATTAGGACATGCCCAAGATCACAAACCTAAGGTATTGGTCAGTGCTCTTCAGTGACTGACACCCACTCTGCCTGCAGTGAGGCCAACCTAGGAGAAAGCCCGTGGGGAAGCGACAAGTTTATAAGCAGCTGCAGGGTCACCCAGTAATTGCTTGGTGACTGGGACAGACTGACTGCTTTTATCAGCAAAGCCGTCCATGAGGTGAAGACCTCTACTCCAGCCCATTGGGCATCTAACAACAGGTCTGAAAGGAGGTCATTCAACACCAGGTCGTCATGGAAACCCTACCCCACACCCACACCCTTGCCCCTGGATCGGGAAGGGA